GGCAATTGATAGGCACGCCGAACCAATTTACTACGGACGCCGTCTTACGGACGCCGTGTGGCTGACCATCCAAATCGGGCTAGCGCGCATCTCACGGTGTGTGTCTTACCGTCACCGCACATGGCCGGCATCACGCCCAGCCATCTTCAGGAATTAATCGCTGAAGCCATTGACAGTTTGGCGCTGCATGGCATCGCCGTCGGCGTCTGAACTATGGCATTTCGCTTTTCCTTTGCCAACGCCAGCATCTCCTTGGGCCGTTCAAGTACACAGTACATTGCCCGGCAGGATATCCAGTTTAGCGACCTTATGACAACGACATGACCGCTACCACGATCACTCACCACTCTGCGTTTGACCCCGAACTTCACTACGGCGATGGGGACCACAACGCCTTATACAACTTGTTCGCGACATGGCCAGAGAATTACTTCACCAGTCTTCCTAAACCACATGTTAACCGCGGAATTGATGAGCCCTACTGGGAATTGCGCCAGTCACAAATTTCCCTAGACGACTGGTTCCGCGGCCGTGGTGCCCGGTGCCTGTTCACCTCGTTCGTTCCCGGCCCGGACAAGCTTGAGAGAGCCCGCTTACGAAAGCGGGCAAATTCGGATGATGTCGAGCTGCACACGAGAAGCACAGTCTGTTTTCGATCCGCCTTGGAATTTGCACGCGAACAAGCCAAGCTGGACAATGCTCAAGCTCTGGAGCTAGCTCAACACTGCTTGGCACCTACTAACACGCAGGTGCTGCGGCGGCGGCATCGACACAGAGGACACACGAGCCCAGAATTCCTCGCGAGAGCTTTGAGACGGTCCAAATGCGCACCAAGTACGGTTCCATGATTCAAGATTTGCTTCGAGAATGCCGGGACTCGAAAAATTCTCGACTCGCCAATACAAGGCGGGAGGATAGCTTGACACTCCTAAACCGGATCTTCCCTTCTGATCGCGACATACCGATCGCGCGAATCGGGCCCATATCAACAATGGCGGACGATGCAGGCGTCTGGTACACTACAGAAGACGACATAGAGAGAATGATGGCCCAAAACTTCATCTTGCACAAACCCACGGTGGTGAGATCACGTCAATTAAGACAACGAGGCCAGGGACTGGATCACTTCTTAGAGGCCCTGACCGATCATTTTGGCATAGCAAGGTGGACGTACAAGACCCAAGTACTAAAAAGAAAGCCGCGGTCTCCTCACCTGTCTGCGACGTTATTGGCCGAATTAGAGAAGGGGCGGACATTCCGGCAGGGCGACTTCCGATAAACCTGCTGAACCTGATCAATTCGCAAACTTCGATAACGTGCGTTATCAGCGAGTGGACCATATCAGCGAGTGGACCACTTTTCACCACAACGCGGCATTCCACACTTAAACGTTGAATTTCTCCACAACGCGTCATGGTCTCGCATTCGAACGAAAATCGGATTCTTCTTGCTATAGCTGCTCTTGAAAGAGACCCAAAGTTA